ATAAATAAATAAAATCTTTAAAAAAAAGAAATTTAAAAATAAATGGATATAATGTTTAATAAAAAAGATTTTTTTTAAAAAATCACATACAAAAAAGTAAAAATCAATCAATCACAGATATCTTCTTTTTTAAACTGGTATAAATAGGGGTGCCTGGGTGGCTCAGCTGGTTAAGCATCTGACTCTTGGTTTCAGCTCAGGTTGTGAACTCAGGGTCCTGAGATCAAGCCCCTGCTCAGTGGGGAGTCTGCTCGCCTTCTGCCCCTCCCCCCACATGCACGCTTTCTCGCACGCGCTCCCTCTCTCAAATAAATAAATCTTTAAAAAAAACTGATGTAAATATACATTCATGTGTAGAATAAAGGCTGTACAGAAATATATTTCAAATGTTCATAAAGGTTATCTGTAAGGTGGTAGCCATGAGTGGGATTCTTATTTCCTTCCTAAACCTTCTTTGTATTTCCTGATTTTCTACTATAAATAGAAACACACTATCTGGAAAAAATGTTTGTTCACATTAGAGAACAAGGTGAACGTGAAAACTCTGTTCATTATCTCGTGTTCAACCTCCCAGATGTCATTTAATCGTCCACGTGGGGCAGACAGCCCCGGCCCTGAGGCTTACCGCCACGATCCTGTCTCCCACGGCGAGGGACCCCTCCTTGGCGGCCGGGCTTCCAGGCACCACTGCAGCAGCAAACACACCGTTCTCCAGACTGATGCCGCTGTCTGCGAAAACCACAGAGGGCAGACACGGGCAGTCCCCAGTCAACCCCGGCCCTGGTCGCCTGGCCCTCTGGTTGTCCCACCTTGTCTTTGTGAGATAAACTTCTGAAGGGAAAGTTAGCAGACTGAAACCTGCCCATCCCAGCACCCAGGCCAGGTCGGACCCCCCAAGGGCTCAGTCACGTCTGCTCGAGTGAATCGAACACTCGGGAGGCCAGCAAGAGCCGGGACCCAGACAGCCCCCTGCCAGGGAAACACACACGCTGCATTTAAGCAGCATCAAGGCCCCTGGAACAACACACCCCAAAACGCACATCTCCCCTCTGCACAAGGAAGGGGTGCCCTGCCATCTGGGGCGCTCCGCCCACTTCTGCGGGCCCACTACCTTTCTGTCCACTCAGGTTGATGTGCAGTGGTGTGATCACCTTCCCGCCCAGGGACTTCCTCCGCCGCACGACCATGTTGATGGCCCCCTCCCCGTTGAGGAGGGCCTTGATGGCCTGCTTCTTGTCCTTGTTGATGAGGTCCACGTCGTTGATTCTCAGCAGCCAGTCATTGACCCTGAGGAGGGGCAGAGCCAGCTCAGTGCCCTCACAGGCCTTGGGACCAGCGGGCAGGCCCCACCGCTCCAGTTTGGGAGACGAGGGGCAGAAAGTGGGTGCCCCACATACACACTCGGACAGATTTCCTCTTCAGGATGGTCAAATGGCTACACTCACAGAGGCTGGAGCCAGACTGCCTGGGTGCAAATCCCGGCTCTACCACTCGCTAGCCGTGTGACCTACCTCCTCCAGACCTCAGTGTCCTCATCTGTAAAATGGGGCAAGAGCACTACAGTACCTACCTCACAGGATTTTAAAGATTAATGAATTGATTATACAAAGTGCTTAAGCCAGTACTTAGCAAATAGTACTTTATTATCATTGCTCTGTCATGGAATGGGCATGCGATGCACACCCTACACTCCTGCACATACCACGCCTGAGCCCTTTCCTACCTAGACAAGTGAGCGGCAGCACCTGGGGCCTGAGGAATGGTCAGATCACAGGCGCCAGTGAATCACAGTCTCCTTTAAGAACAATGTTAGCAGCTGAGCCTGCAGGCCTGAGACTGCTAGGCCCTCAGACCCCAGGGTGCGCTCCTTTAACCGCCACCTGGCTCTCTGGGTCCTTCGCAATGGGTCGGAGGGGCCCCCTTCCCTCCGGAGCCTGGGCCTCCTCCTCTTACCGTAAGCGGCCGTCAGCAATGCTTCCTTTGTCCACTTTAGTGACAAATATCCCACAGTCCCCAGGCAAACAAGGCTCATTCACACCTTCTGCCATATCGAACCCAAGTGCTTTCAAGTCAATATCCTCCTGTCAAGAGAGAAGCACACGCACTTTACACAGCAGCGATTAGAAACCTGTGGCTCTTAAACCTCAAGCTACTCGCTCCACTGTGAGCACCGCCCCTGCACCACGCTGGACAGGGCACTCGGTCCCCAGGATGAAGCCCAGGGGCAGCTACCATCGGCCCCTTCAGCCACTGTGGACACTTGTCCCCGCAGAAGGGCTCTGCTCTGCCCTCTGCCTTCCATGTACCACACCAGCATCTGCCGCTGCAGAGGCCACGGGGACCAACCCACCGGAAGCTGGCGTGGACAACTGCAGGGAAAGGATGCATGCACCCCGGGAAGAAAAGCCGCAGCCCCAAAACTGACAGCCATGAACCTGGAAACCCCACAAGGGGGCCATCCTCTCCCGCCCCCATCCAAAGTGTCCCAGTCAGGACAGCAGGGGAGAAAAGACATTTAGGCAGCTCACCGTCTCCCTTTCGAACTCCACAACTTCTGTTTCCCACTCCATGGAATCTGTGTCGATGGCCGAGTCGTGGGAGCTGTGGGCCATCAGCTGCCGGAACCGGGCCTCCTTCTCCAACTGGGACTCCATCTGCTCCCTAGGAACAGAGAGAGCCATGGCGATGGTCCCCTGGGAGGCGAAGGTCACCATGAAAGCTAAATGGGGCTCCTTTTGCTCTTGGACTTCATGCCAGTTTCCCAATAAATCTGGAGCAGAATGCCAGGCAGGGCTTCCTGGATATCAGTGGGTTTTCAAAGAGGTTTTTCAAAAAGACCCAAATTCGTCCCAAATTTATCCAGAGGTTTAATGCAACTCCTCAGGAATTGCCAGCAAGACTTTTTGTGGATAGAGACGAGACTATTGTAAAATGCAGAGGGAAAGAAAGATAAGGAACTAGAAGAGCTAAAACAATTTGAAAATGAAAAACTAAGTGGGAGGAATCACTCTACTCGATTCTAAGGCTTTTTCTATAGCTCCAGTAATCAAGAGTGTGTAGAACTGCCAGAAAGACAGACACAGAGATCACTGGGACAGAATGAAGAGTCCAGAAATTACCACAAGGTACAAGAGGTACAAAAGTACTTCGGCTGAAGAAGAACAGCATTCAACCAGTGATGCGGGTGCACCCACACACCCACAGCAAGAAAACTGAACCCCAACCCAGACACCATGACTCACATGAAAATTAACTCAAAATGTATCACAGGTTGAAATGTTAAAGGTCAAGCTGTAACACGTTTAAAAGGAAAATACGGGGAAAAAAATCGTTAGATATAGGGTTAAGGTTAAGGGTTCTCATACACCATACAATCTATTAAAAATCAGTAAGTTGGACTTGACCAAAATAAAAAACTTAAGCTCTCAGAAAGACCCAGTTAAGAGATGAAAAAAGACTCAGAAACCTTGTACCATCCCCCAGCGACTTGCACCTGACGTCCTTCGTCCTAAAACCTGTGCCCAGATGACCTTGCCAATTCATCAGCGCTACCCACTGGGCTCCCAGCACACTCGTGACCTCCTCCTGGTTCCTGCTCGAGTGGACACGCTCGCAGGTCCACATCTTTGTCTGGGCTGTGCTCTCACTGGCCAGCTCCAGAACTATATGTAGCCTCAGGGCAGCGCCCCAAAGCTGCCTTTGCGGGACACGGCTCCCACCAGCCCTGTGTTTAATGCTCACTGCACCTGCTCATCTCTCACCCACTGGGGCATGTCTGCTGTCTCTGCAGACCGGGAGCTTCCTCACCAGCACCGGAACAAAGAGGAGGGGCAGATTCAGATATGCTGAACAAACAAGTGGAATTCGACTTTCTTAGAAGTTCCAGGCAATTCCAGCTCCATTAAAATGCACGACTCCCCCCTATCCCCCGCCCCGTGCTCAAGCCCCCAGGGACCAGGCTTTACCTTAATTTGATCCCACCACTTACTAGACAGAAGGTGGGTCCCTGGAGAGAGTGTATCACTTTGCCTCTTAGCTGGAGATTTTCTTTAGAGCACCCAAGCCCAAGAAGTTCTGGGTTTTTATCTAGTAAATGAAGCTGGTTGGCTCATGTTAGAGTTACTGAATGGGGAGGGGGGGTGCTGTCACTCCGTCTGAATGCCACTGCTCCAGCAAGTGCAGCTTGCACACTCACACTCACGCTCCTCACCGCCCTACACCACCCTATCAGAACGGAGAGCCCCGGCTTCTACCCTGCAGAGACAGCTACTGGGTTCTGCCAATCTCCATTTGTAGCTCTGATCTTTGTATCTTCACCCCACCCCTTCGGGTCACCAAGTCTCAAATCACAATCCTGGGTGCAGTGCCATAACTGAGGGGAGGCTGTCTGACACCCCAAACAGTCTCTTCCGAATGGGCATCCCAACACGACAGGCAGAACAGACTGCAAAGTGGTGAGGGCTTTCCAAACACTGCATCATGATGTCAGCACCTTGTTCACGGAGCTGTCGCTGTGTCTGACCCACCTGTGGTCTGTCTCCTCCTATGTGCTATGAGCCCCACAGGGTAGAGACCTGGTCCACTGTTTGGTGGCTTCCCCAGGGCCTCCCACAGGCCTGGCCCATCCAGAGCAGGCACTCGGTAAATCCTTGTAGAGTTGGTGAATGAATGAGGTAGAAAGGGAATGAATGAATGAATGAATGGACAGTAGACGCTTGCCTGTCTCCAAATGGATTGGCTAGGCACAGAGACCTTCCTTCCTATGTGCCTTTGCACATGGTGCCTGCCCACCTCCACGTGCTCATCTTCTGTGATGGTCTAAGAATTTCTCATTAACTCACAACACGGAGGTGGCATTCAGACCCATTCTACAGACTGACAGAGTGAGGCAGAGTGAAGGGCCGGCAGGCAGGGCGTCCCGGCCCTGACAGGAGAGGGGCCACCACGCTCCCCGCAGGCAGGCACCCACCCCCACGTACTTGAGCTCCTTGAGCTCCCGGCTGACATCATTCTTCTGTTTGCGCGTGTCGTCCAGGCTTCGCAGAGCTTCGGCCAGCTCGCTCACCGCCCGGTCCCGCTCTCGCCTTAGGTTGTCACAGAGCGTCCTGGCAGAGGAGGCAGAGGCCGAGGTCACTGTGAGGGGCAGGGGGCAGAGGACTCACAGCCTACAGTGGACTGCAGCCCCAGCCTCCAAATACCCCAGGTGCCCACCTTGCCTCCAAATGCACTGAGGGAGCATCGGAGAGTCTAGAGGTGAAGCCACCCAGGCCAACCCCATCGAGGGGCAGAGAAGACACTAAGATCCAGGAAAAGAGACATCTCTGCAGTTACTGGGCAACGGGTTCTGAACGTTCAGTGCTCATCCCACTGTTTCACCCTCAATGTGCCTGGGTGAATGCCCAGCCCAGCCCCAGCCCACCTGGCAGGTCCCTGGATTCCAGCACCTACCACATGCCTCATCTCTACTCACATGCAGGCCTTTCTAGAGCTGTCCCCGACCCTACAACTAAATCGAGCTCCCCACTCGGACAAGAATCATGCCTCATGCATCTCTGAAGCCCTGAGCTCTGTGTAGGTGCAAAGTGCAGGCCTGATAATTCCCCACCAAAGGACGTGTGGCTCCTGGGACCCCAGTACCACCTCAGCCATTCGCAGAGAAGGTAGGGACAGGGGACTGGGCAGCAGGGGAGTGTGTGCTCTGTGCCACCCCCAGAATGGCACCCTATCACTGGAGGCCCTAAGGGCTGGTCCCTACCTCTCCATGGCCCCCAATCCCCTCCACCCTGAACCCTCACCTCCTGACCTGCCTTGCTAGATAGTGGTCTCTCCTCCCGACAACCACAAGGGATCTTTCTGAAAATCACAAGCACCACCACAAACCCTCATGGCTCTCCCCCTGCCAAGAATCAAGACTATACTGAGGGCTTCCTTCTTGAGGCCCCCACAGCCTGCCCTCAGGAACCCTGTCAGCCACCTCTCCTGTAACTCCCAAGTCCACAAGCATGCCCCTGCCCCGGGCACACCACACGCCTTTGTTCATGGCCATGCCTATCCCGCCCTCCACCTGGAAAAATCCCACTCAGGCCTAAGTTCTAACTTGAAGGTCATGCTTTCCAGGGACACTTCCCCGCCTGTTCCCCCACCCCCCGCCCCGCCCCTGCATGCCCCCATCACAGCTCTGACCGTGGCCCTGGAATTCACCATCCATATTATCTCCCTCCCCTGCTGCCCTGTCCAACAAAGCTGCCCGTGGTCCCCCAAGCACTGGCCCTGCAGGGGCATCACACCCGTCTGGGAGCCTTGGAGGTTGTTTCTCTCCCAGGGTCTCCTTGTAAGAGGGACCTAAGATCCTGGCACACAGTAGGTGCCCACAGAATAACAACTGAAAGAATGCATTCTTGGTATGTCCATTTTATCAGAAGTCCCCTAAGAAAGAAACCTGTCTTTGCACCATTTCATGGCAGGGGGAGGGTCTCATCCAGACACAGTGCACATGCAGACATCGAGGGTGAAATGAAAAGGGAAGTAGAGACATAATGGGCACCTCTAACTCAATGGAGCAAGGCTCAGGTGAGAAGAGAGGAATCGAGGTCACTCCCATCTTATCAGGACACGTGGCAAGTGATTCTGACCCTCCCCACCGACCCAGTGCGGCACGGGGAGACGAGCCCACGCCAGCCCAGGGCTTCCCCGTACCGGATGCTGTCCCGCTCCGCCACGATCTTGTCTCGTTCCTGGAAGGCCCAGTCCCGCCGGCACTTAGCCACGTCCGCCTCCTGGAGGGCTTCCTTCAGCTCCTGGCACAGAGCCTTGCACTGCTTTCGAAGGAGTTCGGCCTCCTTGTTGGCTCTCCCCGCGTCCATTGTCACTGTGTCTTTGATCTAGTGGGGTCAAGGGGTAAGCAGAGGGGTGGTTACTGAGCCTACTGGTCCAGAAGTGCCCTCTAGCTGGTGCTGGGGCCAAACCCTCCGGAGCCGGATGGAGGGAAACACAGGATCCTAGCCTGAGCCCATCCCAACACACCCCTGTTGCGCCTGCACCCCCTGGGACTACCTGTCCCACAGCCACACTCGAGACACCTAATGACACTAGGTAGGGTCCTGTCCAAACACTCCCGGCCCTGCAGAGCCTGTCCCAGAACCCTAGCCCCTCCTCAGCCTCAGTCTCCGTGGCCCAGGTAGAACGCCTCCCCCGGAACGCTTGTCCCAGGCTCCTCCCTGCCACTCGCATGCTCCTATCTTAGACAGTCCACCTCGTCTCTCTAAAGAGCTCTCCTGTCAAAACATAACGACACAAGGCCTGAATGCAGTGAAAGGTGCAGACATCAATCATGATGATTCCCAACCCCCTGGGTCTGCAATACTCATTTTTATGCTCTGGCATACAGAGTCATTTTTAAATCTGAAAATACACCAGTATTTTTGCTGGTGAAGTCCTGTGTGTCTCAGTTTGTTTAAAAAGCTGAAATCTGATACATTTGCATCTTGACACCTCCCAAAGCATTACATGCTTGGCTACCGTTTCGAATCCAACTCTCAGAAGCACTCATAGGGAAAAGCTCCCTCTGCGCCTTGAGAATCCTTAGATGACGCGGGGAAAATAACAAAGGGAGCATCTACTGCAGGAGGCATTCCCGCTTCTGCTCAAACGCTTTCAGAGGCAAAACACGAACAGGACACAAGAGGAACAGGCTCTGCTGTGCGCGTGCCGGGGACCCCCACCTCTGAGCAGTAGGAAGAAGGAAGAGAAAGACAGCAAGTAGGCCCCTGCTGGAGCCACGGCCCACCTGTCACAGTGAGCCCGACATGCCACCTCTGCTCAGGTGCTCTCAGAGAGATCCCAAAGGTTCAGCCAAGAGACGAGGAAGGGGGAGACAGAGGAAAATACGGAGTCACCTTACAACCACCCTGCATCTCTCAAGTAGAGTCAAGAGTCAGTAGGAGCTGGAGAAAAGTCTGCCCAGAAAGTACACCTTAACTCCAGAGTGACAGTGGCTGGTGCACTCGGCTCACATCCCACATTTCTCAAGATCAATTCAAATTATTTCCGTTCTGATCTTTTCCCCCTTTCATGCAGCGCTGGGGGTTTGCTCAGTTTGCTATTTTTTGAGAACCGATTATTATTATGAAAGGTGTCAAGAATTTATTATGATAAAGAATAGGTTTAATGATAACATTTATTTAAATTTACATTTTACTCAGTGTTCTATAATATATTAATACAGTTTTATATTTGGAATGTGTTACCATGTGGTTCCACTGAAAGGTCTTTCCACTTGGCCCTGGATAAGCGTCTCCAGGTGAGGGCCACAAGGGGGACATGAGAGGTCAGCACCAGAGCTAGGCAGCTCCCACGCTCTCCCCTCCCCACCTCCCCCCGCCCCCATGGTTGGTCCCCAAAATGAAGTCACTCCCAAAACACCGTTTCCAGATGAGAAACACAAGAAGTACAAGACTTCGTTTTACTGAGAGGGGAGAAGAACAATGGGGCATCGTAAAGGCACAGTAGAACTGGGAGCGGAGATCCTGATAACACGGATGAGGATGCTCAGGGCCCAGGAAGTGATTGGCCCAGGCCCCGCCCGTTAGTGGGGAGCTGAACTCCATTCCAGGTCCCCCGATTCTTGCTTCAGTGCTTCCTCCTCTACACTGTGCTATCTCCAAGGGGCAGGTCTTAATCTGCAACAGCACCACCCGAGATCTCCTTCCGTCCGCCGTGGGTGATCCGGGGGGGCCGCAGGCTCGGGAAGCCAGGGACCGGTGCTCGTGAGACAGCACCCGGCCCAGGCACCGAAGCCAACAGGAATGACGCCGCGGAGGCACACCAGGGTCCCAGGGAGAGGGCGGTGCTCCCTGAGCAGACAGCTCTCCCCGAGCACGCCGTCTCTTCTAGCCGGGCAGTATCTCACAGCCCTCCCCAGACGTGGGAATGTTCTTGGAATGCCCTCCTGGTCCCCTGCTGCTTGTCATCCACCTCCAACAGTACTCCCTCCCTCACATGCGGCCTGAGCTCAGCTCCACCAACAGCACGGACGTCAGAGGTATAGCTGCATTCAGGGCCAGAAGGAAGGTGAGGACGTGGGACAGGAGCTCTGGTGGAGACGCTGGTCTTGGGACATAACTTGTTATCTGGAAGAACCTGAGTCAG